TAGTCACATCAGCCTTTCAGTATACATGTCTCTCCACTCTCCGTCCCCTGTTTTCGTTGAGTACAGTGAAATAGAAGTAAACAAAATGAGGCCGTAATTGTCTCCTGTTCGACAGAATGAAAAAGTAAATAAAAACAAAAAAACCAAAGTCATCTTTGAACAATGCGTGTCGCTTCTGAAAGTGAAACAGTTCAGCGGCTGATTCCAGGCTACGGTCTGTCACCATCACGTTATCTTTTAAATTTTTCCCTCGATTACGCGACTTACGCGGAGACAAAGAAAATCTACTTCTGCAATTTCAGTGTACTCTCATAAATTTTACAAATAAACATACCTTGACAAACACTTTAAAAACACCTTTATCCATAATTCGACATCAAATAGAGGTCGTAACTTTGGAGAACCAACGGAACTTCATACTGCGATTATTCTCTTGCATATTGATCAAATGGCCACGTGATTAATTGGTAGTTTACAGCGTAGCCATCTTAAGTGTTCCACTGACTGGTCGTCACTTTACATTATGCTGTTTTCGTGTTGTACCATTCCAAACTATATTATTTTCGTAAATCATGAAGTTGAGCTCTTTGCTACACGACGCTGAAGGACTGCCACGACTCATTGCGATTGCTGCTTATAATAGAGGTGAAAAAGACGGCTACTTCCCTAGTCTCACTGCTGGATTTCTTCTTCCGTGTTTATTTGCCTACGTAGATATTTATGGCGGTTTTCACTATTTTGAGCAAACGAGTCGAATATTAACCTACAAAAATACCTGCCATTTTCTTAAAAAATATCGATTTTCATTTCATGTTTTAGATGAAACAGAAAGGCCGGCCAAATTCCCACTACTATTTAAACTCTTCTAATAAAATCGAGTAAGCAGTAAACAAATCGATAAACTTACGAATCTGAACCAAGCAAAAATTCTTCTTGTTTAGTAATTTGAACTTAGGAATTCATTGTAATACACAAGTTTCTGCCGGTTTAGAAACAGATCTGTCTAAAGATGAAACAATATGCTGAGAATATTGGCATTTCTTGTCGAGAGAAACAGACAAATATCTTCTACAATTGACGTGTTCAGAACAACGTGATGTCAGAACAAAATTCATTGTAAATCCTGTAAGAAAGATAACACTGAGATTCATCGTTAATGCAGCTGAAAAGCAGTATCGCTAGAGTTTGATTTTGTCTAAACAGTACAACTGCAAAACAAAGTTAAGTAGCATTATTAGAAAATACAAACAATTCAATATTTAAATAAGATCAACAAATATAACGAAAATCAGGCTACAAAAATTTGTTCATTCCAACAATACGAAAAGGGTAACAAAGGCAATGTGATATACGAATGTCGCTTTACAGCTCTGCATGTTTCTTCTCATCTTTTTCCTAAATATACAAATTAGCAATGCGTCTATCTTAAATGAAGCACGAATAATTGATCACAGATTATTATAACCAGACCGTATTCCGCATCATACGTTTAAGTAATATATAGTTTCAAAGCAAATTACATATGATGTTTATCAATGAAGCACAACGATCGCAAATTTGTATTTCAGGGTGTAAAACCTCAACGAATGCCAAATCAATCTTTCATGAAGAAGAGAGGGAATCATTTTATCGCAATAGATAGCTTTCTGTTCAGAGGATTTGGATAAATACAAACATTTCCATTTACTTCGCTGTTTTTGTCCATTCCAGATATCCACCTATTATGTTCTGGACTCCCATTTTATATCTATTGGTAGGAATCGACAGTTCTCTGTTCAGAGTTTGTTATGCTTAATTTAATGAGCGAAAAATGATTTGCTCGAAAGATCTCCCGTCTAGACGTTTTAGTCAGTGTTCCTCTAGAGGCTAATTTGTCTTACAAGCGCAATCGCAATCGTCATCGTTTCGTTAGTCAACCGTTTTCATGTTCATGACCAGCCAAGAAGAATAAGGTTCACAGCGTTTCAACAAAACATACAAACCCATACGTCTGCATCGCTCAATCATCACGATATTACTGACGTCATTTTGGAGTTTACAGATACCTTTAATTTATTTATTGTAGGTACGCTTAATTAAATTATTTTTTGCTTGCATTAACATTGCACATTCTTAACAATTTACAATACTCCCCGTTACTTTACTTATTTTAGATACTATATTACAGAATGTCAGCTCTTAAGCAAAACTACAGCAGCTTCGTTGTATATAATTTCATAACTATACACACCGCAAAGGAAACACACGTTCACCCTACACGATTTACGTAATGGAGACTTACGGAGTCCTTCTTTTCGGTTTCTTGTTTACCGCCACTTTCTATGAACTTCTTCAGCGCTTCCAACGTTCGCTCACCAGAATAATCGACGACCTGATAAAACAAGAATGTAAACATTTGTTCTTATGCATTATACATACTTCTCCGGAATCTTTCGGAAAGAATTTGATAGTCGGAAACTGCGTGATTTTCAAGTCTTCCAACTCGTTTACTGTAGCGTCCATCTTTGCCACCACCAGGTCTGAGTCGAAATGCTTTGCGTGTTCGGCCAGCTCGACCCATATCGGCTCTAACTGTTTGCAATGCTGACACCATGGCGCGTCTGTAAAACGTAGTTCATAAAGTACTAAACTACAGTAACCGCAAGGGTGCCGGCAGAGAGAAAGAACCAGAGCAAACTGAGTAACGTGACATCAAATGATTTCCACATACGTTCCGGACTTAACATGCTAAGACGATATGCGATAGAAAGCTGTGTAATTAAGCGAAATTTGCCAGATTAATTCAAATGCACTTAATGTTTCAGAAATATGGGTCGACATACCGTAGTATGTTAGCATGGGAAACAATTCTGCCAATACGAGAATTCATCACCTACTATAACCCTGCTTTGTTACCAATTGCAACCAGCTGCTACAATATCTTACACGACGACTAAAATACTACGTTCAAAAACAAAATTACGCGAACAGGTCCATCACCTGAAGTGCCTACATAAATAGCATGGAGCGCAAACCTGCTTATATCCCCCGGTTAGCGAACTATGAGCAAGCAATTCTTGCCATTAAACAGATTTACGTTAAATAAACCTGCACTTCAGAAAGATGCAGTCCCCCTCCCCAATTTCGAATACTGAACCAATCAAACATAAATACGACAGTCATTTCGCTTACAGAACATTATAAGCACATTTTTCTTTGGATCCTTGACGACCTTCTTGAAATTTTCCGCAACCACAACTTTAACGCTGCCTTGGTCCCAATCTTTCGGCAATTTTTGGGAAAGCAGATACGGCTGAAAGTTATAATCATATATCAATCAAAACAATAGACGAAAAGCATTATATATTACATACACTATAAGAAGTTATTAGCAGAAATTCT